TTTACAAATGGAAGAAGTAAAAATTTGGGATCGTGTTATCCAATGGGGAATTGCTCAAAACCCTGGCTTAACGTCAGATCCTGAAGATTGGACCCATGAAAATTTTCTTGCTTTAAAGACTACTTTACAAAATTGTTTGCCCCTTATCCGTTATTTTCAGATACCTGGTCATAACATTCTTAATAATGTACAACCATATCAACAAATTCTTGAGAAAAATCTTTGGAAAGATATAATGAAAAAATTTATGGCACCAAATGAACTAATTTCTTCAAAAATTCTTCCACCTCGTAAAATTCTAAAATCGACATTACCGACTAGAATTATTGAATCATTACCGACTAGAATTACTGAAACATTTTCAACAGTCATTAATGAAGTACATGCAGCAGAAATTGCTTCATGGGTTGATAAAAAAGCTAATGCATATTCTGCAGCAAATAATCCATACGAATTTAAATTGCTTCTTCGTGGAACTAGAGATGGCTTTACTGGTAATTCATTTCGGAAATTATGTGAAAATCAAACACATCTTGTTGTAGTTATGAAGGTTAAAGGTACTGATGAAATTCTTGGTGGATATAACCCTATTGGATGGGATGGACCGGGTCTCTCCGCCTTTTTCGGAAACTTTAAAGAGTGCAATGATAGCTTTATTTTTTCATTGAAAAATGGTATAATTCAAAATTCTATTTTAAGTCGCGTAAAATATTCAGCATATGCAATTCATTGTCGTTCTATACATGGACCAACATTTGAAAGGGGTGATTTAATTATTTCGGGTAATTTTAATCAAGACCGTAGCTGTCGGAGTAATCATAGTTCATATGAAAAACAAATTAGAGATGCATCTACATACGAAAGTGATAACTATTCATATTTTTCAGTGGATGAATATGAAATTTTTCAGATTAGTAAAAGACCCTAAAAGTTAATATGCTAATTTACTAAAAATTATCATTATACTCCCAGATATGCTCAAAAGTGTAGTCATGCTTGTATGTATCGCTTGGCATATAAAGCATCTAGGAAATGTAAGTGATACAAGACTTATGGAAAAGATAGTAGCTATAAGAAATAAGGGATTTTAAACGTTCTGTAGACAATAAAGACTTATTTCTATAAAAGTATGTACATTTTGAGTTCAATAAAGGCATATTTTATTATATCGAAATATAGAGAATTATTGATAAAGTGTATGAAACTTCCCCGAATTATTATAATATCTATTAATTTTACGTCCACAATCCTGAAATATTGTGAAATGGTGAGGTTAATCTAGTTATTTGTCGGTTACAATATATAGTCTTGAAATAATGGACTGTATATTAACCCAAGCCTTGTCACACTGTTCGTCAAATCTAACGTGTCACTTTCGCCATTGTTAGTTACATGAACACAGTTTTAATAGAGCGACTTACCGTTTTAGAAGCTTTCACCATCATAAATATAGCTAGATTTAGTTAAGATCAATTTCTTCTTGAAAATTGGCCACTAGATAGATATATTGAAAGATTATGTTGATTAATCAATTAGTCAATTAGAATATTGGTAAAATAATTATTATGTGGCCTGGTCTAGTTCAAATTTTCCTGATATACCCCCCAAAATTATGCTACATTACCCAATTCAATCAATAATAATAAAACAAGAGGGGCTCATAAAAGTAGTCTTCTTTAAATAGATCAATATCCCGAAACGACTTACAGGAAAAAGATTGGTTGCAAATTCATTTTTGAACAAATGAACAAATAAACAAATAATTTTTAGTTTGATTGGGGGGTTTTTTTTTTTGGAATAAGCTACTGTCAGCGTGTTTAAAAAAATTTCATCACAAAATCTGGTACGTACGCATGCATAACGTTACTACACTAAACCTAAGATGTCACATTTCAAAAACCATTTAAATCGTTACTCCCCGGCAAATGAAACTTGGGTAAAATTAGTAACTTCATATTTTCTGATGGGATTTATTACAAAATCTTTAAATTACTTGTCTTCAAAAAGTGATAAATAAATTTAATAATATCGAACGAATTGCATCAACCTGTAGTTTAGATAAAAGTCTTGAAAACCTGAATAATTCACAATAAATATAAAGGAATTTTAATTTTATCACTAATAAAAAGTGTTATTTCACTCATTTCATGTTCTTGAAAAATATCTTGCTTGCACCAAAACTTTATATAATCAAATTGGTATAAAATTTGATTGATACTTTAAATATTAAAATATCGTAATTAATGTCTTGATTTTCTTCTTAAATGCATTATCCGTGCTGTACCCCCTATTTTGGATTACCTATCACATAAAAGTGTAAAAGAAATGTCGTAACTTTATTGTTATGACGACAATATAGAAATTTCTGACAAACAGAATTTTAACAGGAACATAATGGTATAGTATATTGTGGAGTCAAATGAATTTTTAACAGGAAGATAATGATATAGTATATTGTGGAGTCAACCAGAATTTTAACAGGAACATATGGTATAGTATATTGTGGAGTCAAATGAATTTTCTATCGCCGTCTCACTATGATGAGCTTATTTCAATTAAAAAAAGGTATCTAAATAGATCGATTACGACTTTACAATTAGGGATCTGTGTATATCCAGGGTTTTTAATGAAGTATTTTACTCTGAAGTATGGCGTTCATAGAGAGAAATGCTTAATTTTTGTCTGCACCTCGCAAGAGCCTCATTATACTGTAAATGTTTGATAATAAAATCTGGCAGTAAGAATCAATATAGCAAACTTGTGTTTCACAAAGCTGAAATTGCTTTATAGTATAAGGGCATTTAAAAGGAGTGTTCATAGGCAAATTAAGTGTTAATTGAAACTTTAATAACATGAAATTGTTATATTATTATGTATCTGCTTTGTGGACAATGATTATAACCTATGTGATGCAATTTTTTCACACATAAAAAATAAATATCACAAATAATACACATTATATTAATATACAAGTATTTTTGCATGAAGGGTGATCGCAAAATATACTAAACTAGTAAGATACTCATTCCTCCGAAAATAAGTTGCATGTAGTGAGGGCCAAAGTTGGCATAGTGTAGGCCAGGAATGCTTATTTTCGGAGGAATACGGTAATTATAAAATTCTGGCATATTAATTTATGCAAAAGAGTCTGGCTTCTCAACATTATCAATAGGAATACCTCCTGTATGTAAAACTTTCGGAGCGAAATAAGTACTTCACAAAATCAAGTCAAAGTTTGACTTTTAATCAAATATTTGATTCAAATTCAAATTTTGATTTGATTTTTCGGAGTAAGTTACTAAGCGAAGTTAGTACAATCTCCTCCCTTGCTATCATAATTTTTATAATTCGTTAATGTCCAGCATAATTTACTGCCTTTTGTCTATCATAATCAGAATGTTTAGAGGAAGGTAGATTAGAAGTTAATTAAAGGATAATTTTAAAAAATATGGTATTTACGATTATTAAGTTTATAGCCACATTTGAGCCACCGACATTATCGTTTTTATTTTATCACATGTACAACCACCTACATCACCACAATCACCACAAGCAATGAAGGCACTAGAAATAAGAAAGATCAAGAAGATCAGGAAATGATATGACGATTCAATTTATTCGCTATTTTTGCTGAAAGCTTATCATTAGCAAGAATTCACTACTGATCTGTATGATTTTTTTTTTCTTAACCCTTGGCATAATTGACTATATATTTTCAAATATAATCGTTGGTCCTAATTGTTTGCAACTGGAATTTTACCAATATCTTGATTTTCAACCGGAATTTCACCTGAGGTATTCTAATTTCATCCGGAATCTCGGGAATTTTTTCCTTTTCTGGAGAATCCTAAACTTCGACCGGAATTTACCGGAGGTATCCTTATTTATCGTAGAGCAGCTTGTGAATAGTGACCCTGGCATAGTTGTTGCCCTCAAAGGAAATTATTACAATGATCACTAATCATTTTCATTATTAAAATTTCCTTTTTTGAATTCTACCACCATCTATACTCCAGTATGACACGAACCGGTGATCTTGTGATTGGAACCACGAGCGTAATCACTACGCAATTGATCCACGGGTCATCTGCATAAATTTCTATGTGGTAATTATACAAATGCTATGTATCTCTCAACTGTAGTTGAATTTCAGATATAAAAAGAATAGTAATAAGACACAGCATTTTGAAAACTTTTCTAATAAAGGTAAAATATCCATCATTCGAAATTCCGCCAAATCCTAATTTTAGCATTTTTTTTGAATACAACTAATTACTTTGCTTGCAAACAACAATTTCCAAAATTTCTCTTTGATTTTCACTTTTGTAGCTGATTATCGGATATAAAATAAGTAAAGAATAATAAATAAAACACAGCATTTAGAATTATGAGCATATTCTATACTTTTTTCTATAATGAAGGATTTTTTAATTAATTAATTAATTAACTGAAATATCTTTAATTAATTAAATAGATGACCGATGCACTTAATTAACTTAAAATGTATATAATGGATAATGTATTTTTACGATGGTATAACGATTTTAAATTGTTATATTCTTTTTCTCTTAAATGTTTTTTAATTTTCACGTAATTACATTTACACTCCTTACTTTTTTAGAAAATTAGCATTTATTCATTATTAAATGTAAACTCGAATGTGCATACCTACTAGTTTGTTTTTAGAAAAATGAATACGGAATTGTAAAATATCGATATAAAGATAAATACATATATGCTAACCTTTTTAGTTAATTACACTTTGGCGATCACACTGACCAATCGCATGCGAAATTTGCTTCCCTACGTGTAGATCATGTAAGTCATATACGTACTTTGTTTCAGACGTTGTTAAAAATGTAAAAATAAAAAAATCCTTTAAATTTTAAATTATTTTAATGTTTTACAACACAGTTTCGAAAATAAAATTAAAATATAAATACTGAGTATTTTTTGTTTTGCCAAAACATTATATTTTTCTTTAAATCATTAATAATAAAATGAAGTTTTTACTCACTGTGTTGTCCACCTTTATCATGGTCATTTCAATGACAAATCAAGCATTTGCTACTCTTTCAGTAGATGTTTCTTCTTTGACATCAGTAGCTGCTTTCAGTTGTGCTAAAAATTTAGGCTATAGCACTGCAGCAATACGTGGTTACTTTGAAGCCTATGGCAATAATCCTGGTGGTGCAATTGATTCTAATTTCTTAAAAAGTTACGAAAATGCTAAACAAGCTGGGTATACCGATATTGATGTATATATGTTTCCCTGTACTGGAAGGTCGACCTGCAAAACACCTCAACAACAGGTTAATGAATTGGTTAATTTGATTAATACCAATAAGGTCATAGTTCGAACTGCCTGGCTAGATGTTGAAGTGGATAAGACTTCTGGTAATTGGAATTTAGGTCCGGCTAAAAATCAAGAAATATTGAAAGAATTCTTTGCTGCATGGAAATCTACTGGCTGGAAATTTGGTATATACTCGGTAGGTGATTTTTTTTTTATGTATTTATTTCTTTTGTAATAAGAGTTAGCATTTAATAACTTGCAAATTTAGAGTCAATCTCAATGGGAAGCAATTACTGGTGATAAAAATTGGGTTTTAGATTCTAGTCTTCCATTATGGTATGCTATTTATGATAAAAATTCTAGTCTAAATAATTATAGAGCTTTTGGTGGATGGACTCAAGGTACATGCAAACAATGTAAGTAACTAGTTTTTACCTAATTTTATATTTTATTCTATATTATTTGAATATTAATTGTCTTTTTTTTGCATAGATGACGGTGATGCAAAGTTTTGCGGTGCAAGTTTTGACAAGAATATTTGTAAATAAACATTGTAATAGCTTTCATATCTTGCGAGCATAATTATCTTATCTCACGTCATATAATTCTGTTTCGTAATTGTTATATCATATTGTTGTTTATGGTAACTTCCTTTATATTTATACTTTATCATATTCAATATTATTAGATATTACGTATTAGGGGTTTTTTCTAATTTTTTAAATAGCATTTATTATTTTAATTAAATATAATAATATAGATTTAAATGAATTTTTTATAGTGTACTTTTTTCAAGAATAAGTTTACTTAAATTGTAAACAAGAGTTCTGTAAAGACTATGCATGGTGCTATTTAAACAGTGCCAGGTGGGTATGAGATGAGTATATACCATAGTATGAAAATTAGAGATCAATAAATCATATTATTACGGCAATATAAATATTAAAATGACGAAATAAGGTACAAACTATAGATACAAAACGTTACTCGAGATTTTTTCTTAGTAAAAAAAAATATTTATCAATAGCAAATCGATTTGCTTAATACAAGTATTGTAAAATTATAATAAATAATGAGATTCCTTTTTAACCAATCAAATCAAACTTGACTCATGCAGGATAGTACTATCTAATATATAAACAAATTTTGATGCATAAAGAAATTAAAGAGCCATAATAATATTCTAGATTTAAGAAAACTGGACAAGCTGATGTGAAAAATAATAATATACGTATGGTATTAAGGATTCTAAACGATCATATAAAAATTATGAGTCATAATACGTATAGGTAACTCACTCAGCATAGTTGAAAATCATCTTATTGGCTAATTAACAATAAATAGAAACAATGAATTAACATGTGGGGATCTAATTCTGACAGAAATATGTAACGTATTCATTTTCAAATGAGCGATGTATAACAGGGGTGCCAGTCAAATTCGTAGATAATTCCACAAGGTTATCAGCCAATTGTATCTCGAATATTAGTAAATCGGCCAATCAGATTGTAAAAAAAAGGCATGGAACTCAAAAAATATGGTATAAAGCGAGACGAAAGCATTAATTCGTCCGTTAAATTTACTCTCGTTTCATAGAAAGTTAAGCTACCCGGGCTCTTAAAAAGAAGTACCGTAAAACGTATAAAAAAAGATTTATCAATTATGTAACTATATCGATCGCTCCTGTTGCAATGTATAAATTTTATTTCATTTTCCGACAAATTTGAAACGATGATCTTTTATTATTGAAAAGTTTACTTATTTGTCAAATTGGGTCTCTAAATCAAAATTTTGATACACAAATAAAAAATTTTAAACTCTTATTTATTTCCGAAACCTTATAATATAAATGGTATAAAAAATTATCAATTCGATCCAAATTTTGATCTCGTGAAATTCAGATCAGAAATTGAATTAGACAGTCAATCGTAGGATTTTTAATCATGCTCGGACATTCAAATACCTGTCTTTTGGGCTGTCTTTTGTTGAGAACAGGGATGGGCAAAATTATTTTAATGTTAAGATTGTCAAATATTGAGTAAGAAATAACATATGTAACTGCTCACGATTCTCTTCGATTTCTCACAAGGCATATAGAAGTCGTTTGTTTTCACGCTTTTTGAAAACAGTTGTAATTCCCAATGTTATTTTCTAACATTTATTAAATAACAGAGATATATAAATTGCGAAAAATATAGATTAGAAATGAATATGTTGTACGTCGGAATAGAATTATTGTAGATTTAGAATACATCTAGGTTAATTTCAAATAAACATAAGTTATAATAGAATTTTAAAATGTGTCCGAGTCGTTAAAGAATTTCATTCAACTAACAATAAAATTAAGAGGATTCCAAATTAATTCATCGAGTATTTTGTTTTGGAATCTAAATCGGTTTAAACTAGATTTATTCAATCGTTAAATTTAAAAGCATTACATCTATGATTAGTGGGATGAAAACTACAGTATACATTTTTATTTACAATAGATTTTTGTCGCAAGGGTTTTTGCATTTGTATTTAATATTATTTACATGAGAAGAGATTGAATAATAGATACTTCTTGAACACTTATATGCGTTGAAGAAAAAAAAAATCAAGATAGAAAATCATGCTTTATTAAATGTTAATTCATAATATCCAGAGTTTGTTATAGGAAGACTAATATCGACTGTTATTTAATTCTGAAAACTTGTCAGCAATCAGCAATTTCAATAATATCGGATTTGTAACCAAGCTCTATATATCATTCTCCAAACTTCAAGGGTTGCAAGAAGTGTCTTTTGATCTTTGTGCTTGTATTTGCTAGATCTTGTAAAACTTTATCAAAAGAATCAAAATTCTCCATGTGTTATAAAGGTTTTGGGTCGACTACTAATCGATTTACGACTAAGATATTTCGAATCCTTTATGAGGTAAAAATGGATGATCTTGAGATTCAATTATAAGATAGAGTTTTGCAAAGAATGAAAACGAAATAATAATAATAATCATCATTTTATATTTTATTTTGACAATTTATCATGACGATATGTGTAATTTATTTAACAATTGTCATATCAATAAATTATACATTTATTGTAGTATCGAATTTAAAAATCAACTTGATATTTAAATTTGTCGATTATCAAATTTAGAATCAACTTAGATTGCTTTTCAATTTCGTATCAACTTGGGTTACATTTGGAATTCTGTTCCAATCTAAGCTGATTCTAAATCCACAATAATTTCATTTCAATGTACGATGGTGTCGGACATGTATTTTTACATAATAATTTAAGAATAGACAAATTAAAATAAGATTATTGATTATATAAAAATAATTTTGGAACTTGTTAAATTTATCAACGGAGGTTAGCGTCTGACTTTTACTCATTTGAAATAATTATGTGAAATTTATATGAAGCATCTTACCAATTTAATCATACAAATGTGACAAGAGTAAAATCGCCACCAAAAAAAATTCCAAGTAAAATTACGTTTTTTTTTAGGTTAGGATTAAGATTTTATGAAACGAACGTTTGTTCTGAATTTCCTGATCTTGAGATTTGATTGATATAAAACTTTTTAGAGTGGTGATTTTATCTCAATTTGCAAACGCCGTCTTTGATTGGATGAATTATTTTATGTTATTTTTTACCTGCTAATCAAATTACCAACCTGGTGCAATGTAGATTGACGAAATTTTCAAAAAAACCAAACTAAGTAAATAAATGGAAACCATTTAAAGCCCAGTCCGATAACAAATCAATATCAGTAATTTCCAGACATATAAGGCCACGCAAAGTTGATTTTTTTTAAAGTCCCAATTATGTCAATTATTCGATTCTTGCTATTTAATTTTTCTATCAATTTTATCCAATATCACCTGATAGAGACCTTGGTATCTCATAGAACTGATAGAAAAAAAATCTCAGCGCTAACCCAATTTTCTGATTTGGTGCCATGTAAAACGAAAAATTAATTTTTGTATGGTCTTAGATATGAACATGAGTCTATTAATTTACAATAGATTAAATCCGACCGATAGACTCAATTTCTCTGATTCCATGTTATGCAAAACGAAAAATTAACTTTACGTGGCCTAAAAAATTCTTCTCTATGCCGTAGAGATAGATAAGATAATTACTTATTACATAAAAAATTAAATCACACTATGCGACAATTAACATGCTTTATGAGTGCTGCCAAGAGAAAAAGGCTACTTGGTTTTTTATATTATTGATTATCAATCCATCTGATTGATAACATATCAGGTAAATTAATTGAACATGATATACAATATAATAATACAATATACAATTTTGAACTATATAATTGAATAAGATAAATAATCAATTATACCAAGTGGCCTTTTCCCCTTGGCAGCTCTCATATATTATTAGTAAACTGTTATTTGATTTTTACGTAGTAGTAATTACCTTGCTCAACTCTAGCATAATGTCCTTAGGACCATATATATGGACCAATTTTTTTTGCCATACTTTTCAAACCGATCAATTCTGCAGATTACTTGGCCCTACTTTATCAGGGCCAAATGATCTGCGATTTGACCAGAATAAAAAAATTGCCATAAATGTGTTACGTTATACATATGTGTTACGTTACACGGTGTATAAAATCTATAAATTTTTGCGTTTATCAAAATTTTAATAAATTACAAATTACATGAGCAAACTTCTTGCATATATCTAAATGGCAATAAAATTTTTTGAAAAACTTTCGAATAATTATCTTGAGCTTCTTGATGACAAAGAAGATATTAATATAATTATTAATGTTGGCGAATCTCCAAACACTAAAATATTTCAAGCACATTCAACAATTTTAAAATATAGATCTTTATATTTTCGTAATGAATTAGTAAATATTAAAAAAGATAAGAATAATATTAAAACTTTTGATTTGAAAAATGTTACTGTACAACAATTTGAAATTATTATCAGGTAAGCTATTTTATGCATGAATGAATAGTTATACTATTTTGCAAAAATGAAATTCTAAAATATAATTTAATTTTATGCAAAGATATATCTATGGAGGAATTGTATTGCTTGAAAGTCATAATGCATCCTTTATTTTTGAGCTTATGGTTGTTGCTTACGAATTTCTTTTTGAAGAATTAGCTAAACATCTTGAGACTCATTTAATTGAAACAGAAGCACATTGGCTTCGTTTACATTTTGCTTCTGTTTATCAAAAAATTTTTCAGAATAATAAACTTCAAGAATTACAAAAATGGTGTAATGATATTGTAGTAAAATATCCTGATAAGGTTTTTGATTCCGAAGACTTCACATCACTTCAAGAAAATGCACTAGTATCACTTATTAGTCGTGATGATTTACAAATGGAAGAAGTAAAAATTTGGGATCGTGTTATCCAATGGGGAATTGCTCAAAATCCTGGCTTAACGTCAGATCCTGAAGATTGGACCCGTGAAAATTTTCTTGCCTTAAAGACTACTTTACAAAATTGTTTGCCCCTTATCCGTTATTTTCAGATGTCTGGTCATAATATTATTAATAATGTACAACCATATCAACAA